ACTCACTCACTCATTCGAAGCTTGAAGATCGTGACAGATATGTATATATGGATATGTACAGTCCTCTTCTTTGTGAATCGTGACATATCATGTTTCTTATAGCATATTCAACAATCACGTGACACTTCACGTGTGTGTATTTAATGTGAATGATGAAATCGATTTAGTATTTTATTGATCTTACTTTGTTCGTCATAGATTACGCAGTTTTAATATGTTTAATAACAATCTTAACCTACCACTACGTACCACGCAAATTACAGGGTTGATGATAATTAAATGACGCAGTAGTACATGGCAGTTATTAATAATGGTAGATATGATAATATTAATAATGGTAGTAATAATAATGACAATCATCATCATCATCATACCTTAACTATACTATAATCTAAAGTATTATTTTTCCAAAATCCTACAACATTTTAATTATTCTATGATATTTTAGCAAACGGGGATAATTCATCTTTCACTTAATGGTTACCCAAATACACTTTGAACGTGATCTTTAAATACATAATGAATATAGAAAATCAGATCCATGAAAATATGATGTTTGTAGCATCTTGTCACAAATATTGATGTACATCATAAAATAGAACATGTATATTGTACGGAACAATTCTCTGTGAGTTTGCACCAGAGCTGGAGTTGTATGTAGTAATGTGGGTTGCTTTAATTGAAGCCCAGATCCTCCCAGAGAATGGCCCTTGGTTGGTAAGAAACATAGCAGATGTTGGTTGGTAAGAAACATACCAATTGTCACGACTTTCAACAAGTGGAAATTACGCGATCTGTACTAATTCTCCGCATCGCGTAAATAATGTAACAAACGTACAATGTTTTAACTCGTGCAGTTAAGAAACATCTGTCATTGTAATTACTAGTAAATAGTTGGAAAATAACTGACAACACTTACATGACGAGGCCGTCAACAGCAGAGCCAGAAGGGTGGGTGCATACGCCATGTTCGTCTCTCTGTGTGAGTCGACTGTCGGTAGCGGGTAAATATAACCCACATGTACCCCACTGGGCCGGTACTACCCAGTTACGAGTGCACTCACAGGTATTGCGACATTGAATACCACGCCCATAAACGTTAAAAGAAGTAGCGCTGTTTTTGTGATTTGTAGTGAACGCTGTGTGTTTCTTGTGTGCGTTCGTCTCTCTCTCTCTCTCTCTCTCTCTCTCTCTCTCTCTCTCTGTGTGTGTGTGTGTGTGTGTGTGTGTGTGTGTCGTTTGTTGCGTAAGATAAGATATTACTATTTCATTAGGAAATGCTGATTCTAAGGAAAGGATAGTGTAAATCGTTCCCATACACACAGAATCACATACGAGTATGCCTGCGCCAGTCGTTGAGTGCGCGTGTGTTTAGTATAACCCAAACTTCTTCCTCTACGGGCACATGCATCGATGCATAGTATCCTTACCGAATACATCCTCCCCGTGAGCGAGCGAGTGAAAGTATTGAATTCCTAAAAAAGTATTAATGATTATACGGATTTTTACTGACAATAACTAGAGAACTGATCGTTGGTGTATTAAAATCATTTTAAAAACTTACACGTTTTGGGAACGACGAAAGTGAATCAAGTGCGGTGGTCAATGTCCAGCTGCACCATTTACCAGTGCTTTGCAGACTGGATTAGATTCATGTACTAATGGAACCGTGAAGATCTGGGTTAGAATCGGTCTTCAGTAACCCATGCTTGTCGTAAAAGGCCACTAACGGGATCGGGTGATCAGGCTCGCTGGCTTGGTTGACACATGTCATCGTATCCCAATTGCGAAGATCGATGCTCATGCTGTTGATCACTGGACTGTCTGGTCCAGACTCGATTATTTACAGATCCCCGTAACGCAGCAGTGATATTGCTGAGTGCAGTGTTACACATCAAACAAACAAACACTCACGTCCAGACTGTTTTGGTATCATCATGCCTACGTACCTGTGTGCCTACAAACCAGTGGACACGCAGCATGTGTAGGCACGTTGAGATAGGCTTCAGCACCCCTTTCAGTACACAGGGGTTGTTTCCCAATACAACATCACAATGAAGTAAAACAAGAGATTCAGTTCAATTCATTGCACTAATAACAACAATGAGACAGCCTGCACACAGTTCCCACGGTGAGTAAGTGAGTTCTTTGGGATTTACGCCGCTTTTCAGCACTATTCCAGCAATATTTATATATCACGGCGGGGGACACCAGAAATGGGCTTCACACACTGCACCCATGTGAGGAATCGAACACGGGTTTTCGGCGTGACGAGTGAACGCTTTAACTACTAGGCTACCCCACCGCCCCTACACAGTTCTCAGAAATGGATCAAGTTGACCAAGTCAATACAAAGAATCAAATATACTAATTCAACTTTGGTTGAAGATTCTGTCAGATAATACCCTCCCGCCCACAACTTGGCCGCATGCATAATTATTCCAGCTATATGCCGGCGGCCTTGAAATAATCGAGTCTGTACCAGACAATCCAGTGATCAAAAGTATGAGCATCAATCTACGCAATTGGGATACGCTTAAATGTGTCAACCAAGTCAGTGAGCCTTACCACCCGATACCGTTAGTCGGACTCAGCTAATGAAAACGATAACCAGGAATATTGAATGTAGATCTGCCTGGTTATCTCTTAATGGTACTCCTACAGTGGTTACGTTTGGATTCTAGATATTTTATTAGATCCGGTCTACTTTGTAACGGAGAGGTATTCACAGAAGCCATCACAGACTGTTTACTTAGTCATATTCTTCTTGAATAAACATAGGTTAAACCACCAAAATTGATCAAAAGCGAGAGGTATTTACGTAAGCCATCACAGCTTTTTCACTTATCCATATTCTTCTGGAATGAAAAAAGGTTTAAACCCTAGTCAAGTTGACTAAAGTTTATAGACACGGGGTTCAGTGACAAAATTTCTTGCCACTGTACAACGGCTTCATCCAATGGCCAGATGTTTCGACATACTTTTTCTTGCTCGGGTAGACTAACATACAGTGTCTCAAATGATCACAGAAAGAACGGTTCCTAAAACTGGATAGCATAAAAATATAATAAAAAAGGAGAATTTCATTTTCAGAAATTGTGGCAATCTAGATTTGTCACATATTATAGACTTGCATGGGCTGTATTTGACTATAGCTTAGGCTCTGCAGGCTGACGGCAGTGGTCTGAAACATATGTCACGTGTTCTACGGTAAACGTAAATACTCTACCCTTCTGTACACATTCCTATACCATTCAGTCGTTGTGGGTGACCTTTGTGAAGAACCTGCTGACCTCCCAGGTGGTTTGACATTTTCACGACCAACTTTAAATCGTCATACATTTCCAAAAGCTGGGGAGTTTACACATTCCAGCCCTTTTCTTTCATAGATACGATTCCTGTTTGTACTTCTCTTGGAGTCCACATCCATTGTGAAGAAAAATATAATCAGATTATAATTACAATCCGCCCACCGTTAGATTATTTGCCACGGTTGGAAACAATATGGCTTATATGGTTACAATATAAAATCTCCATGATAATACAATGGGGTTAATTTAAATATTTCGCAGTTAATCTGACGTCTAAGCTGTGTGACTAATTATAAGCTGTCCAATAAATCAGCAAAAATTATCTATAGTATGTTTTAGTCTGATGGATAGTCTATACCTGATGGAAATGTTTCAGTTGACAACTCAAAATACATAAATCGTATATATGTCCTCCAATTTCACCTCTCATCAATATATGTTACTAATCATCACATCTCAAAAAAGACTTTTATGGAACTGAAGCACAAAAAAACAGATGTACAAAAAAATGTCACCACAAGAAGATTGGAAACACCGTCCATCGAGATATGATGAATCTTTGTCCGTACGTTTTCCGATTCACAAATTGAAAAAGTCGACTCGCCAATGAAACTACTTCCGGAGCAAGGGACTACTTCCGGGTTGGGGAAATGGTACTGATCAGATTGTAAACATCTTGTGATGGATTCGCCTCTAAATTTGGTAAGGGTTAGGGGGCGGCTCCAGAGGTGACAGATAAATATAGACTTCAACGAAATAGATATTGATTTTAATTTGTCGCTGCTTATCACCTTTTAGGTAAAATCAACTTGGTAAACAACCGAATTAATTCAGGACAGTGTCAAGTTGCCACTTTCAGTACCACAATTTAATTAATTAATGTACATCGTTGGTTTGCATTATAGCCAGAGTGAGAAACAATGTTTTCGTGTAATCAAGCAGAATCACAATTTCAGTGTTCTGCAAACATCGCATTATTACAATGTTTCTTCCATTGTCAGTGATTCACAATAACATCTCGGGTTACATCATCGAGAGAGCGAAATCGTTACTATCATAGTGTACCTTCAATATAACTGTACATCTATCATATATGTGAGCAGATATGTATGGGTCACTGAGCATGTGCCACCTGTATTTGTTACGCACTTAAACAATTTGTGATTTCCATTATTCATTAGAAATATTATCAGGTTCAGAATATTCAGCATAAATTAAAGATATTCTTTATAATGTATACGTAACATATGAATCGTAATTGTTAATGTTGGCCGATCTTTAAACCCAAGTAATACACAAGAAAATGCCTATTTAGGGTACTCAGTAACTATTTGACTTTAATTATGAGGCAGTTGGCCAGATACTTAAACAACAAGCAGCAAAGACATTGACTGTCTGTCCTCAGGGCAGCACTAGGGTGTACTCTTGAAGAAATACATTATCACTGTATATAATTTTCTGTAAACAGAACAACATTTGGATTTATTAAATGTAAGCAAAGTGACTTTGTTTCTTTGCAATGTGTATTGTTACCCCCAGGCTCACCAGCAGGGTCGGCGAGCAGATACCCTTGTGCGGAGTGGGAAGTTTGATGATGCAGTTGACTGCCACAAGAGAGCAGCAGGTGAGTAAAGCTCAAGGCGATAAAGTTGTACAGTCAATCATATAACTTTATTTTTAGAAATGGTAATGTTCAAAGCTATCAAACCTACTCTCCCCAAAACACACACCTATGTTTTGTAATCACCTTACGTGGTGTAGAATTGAGTGAGAGAATTCTGCTATTTAATGTGAATAAATCTGTACATGAAATATTTATACAAGATACTATGACTAATGTATAAATTAATGATAGTGAGTGAGTATGATTTTATGCCGCTTTTAGCAATATTCCAGCAATATCACAGCGGGGGACACCAGAAATGTGCTTCATACATTGTACCCATGTGGGGAATCAAACCCGGTCCTTCAGCATGAGGAGCGGAAGCTTTAACCATCAGGCTACCCCACTGCCCATTTAGTGATAGATGTATGGGAATTTGCTGCACAGAAACTAGTATAATCATATGCCTGTTTCATCAGCGTTGTCTCAGTATCAGCCTTCTCTTGACACAATCCTGGCACTTAATTGATACCCTATGTACAATGAGGTAACAATATTAAGGACCTGATCAAATGTGCAAGTATTCTTTTAAGCAGTTCAAAAAAGTGTTAAAATGAAAATATTGCAAGGAATTGATTGAAATTTTGTGTGCCATGGCACAGTAACAGATGAAATGGCACGGATGAAATATTTTCAATTTGCCCTGGCAACACGACTAACCTTATGAAAATAATACTCACCATGATTCATTTTATGGAAAATGTGATAAATCTGACCAACTCAAATGATTCAAAAATATTTTTGCCCCCATTCAAACTGTCTATCAGTGGCACTCTCAGTCTCACGGCTTAATATAGGCATGGCTCTTTTGAATGTGAATAACAGGAAATCATGTTTTGGATAACATACTGTAAACGTATTATATTTCGCGCAGGTTTTATTTTCGCGCTTTTCGGGCAAAACATTTTAGCGCGAAAATTTATACACCGCGAATTAGCGAAAACAGCAATGTTTGATACAAAACAGATTACCATGAAACGACTCGGAAAGAAAAAATACAGCAGTATTTTATTTATTCATTAAGATTTTATTTACCAGTACATCATGAAGCGAGTAGTCACTTAACACTCAATCATCTCATTCACAACAACCCGGCTTGTTTGAAATCACAAAGAGCTTCATATACAGTAGAAGTTAATTCGTCAGATCGTCAGAATTCGGAACATAAGACTGATGTGTTTTTCATCTCTTCCGTGAGTAAACGGATTACTGTGTACTAGTATATCACAGATTTCCTGTGAGTAAGCAATAAACGCCGCCTGAAAGGTTAAGCCACTCTGTTTGTTTTCACTGCTATTAGTGGCGGCCAAAGAGACAGCTGGCAGTTCCGGCAATTACTGATTGCGCGAATAATTGACCGCTCGATGTAGTCTAAACTGTCAATTCAGCGAAAATTGCACCACGCGAAAATAAGTACGTTTACAGTAGTTTGTGGGTTTGTTTATGGGTCCAGGACAAATGAAGCTCAACTATTCTTGCAGTCATGATAGTTTTTAGGAAATCCAACTCTGAAGTTTATTTGTATCCTGGTTATTTTCCTTAAACCCGTGAATATCCAGGATAGATTAAGTCTTCCCCAACCCATGCTTGTTGTAGGAGGCAAATACTGGATCGGAATGTGAGGCCTGATAACTTGGTTGACACATGTCATCGTATCCCAATTAGATTGATGCTCATGATTTTGATCACTAGACTGCCTGGCCCTGATCCGATTATGTAGACTGCCACCATATACAGTGAAACCTGTCTAAACCGGCTCTCCATAGGGCCGAAATAAAATGCCGGATAAGACAGGTCCCGGTGTTGGCAGGTTTCACTGTAGTTGGAATATTGTTGAATGTGGCTTTGCAACAAACAAATCATATTCATGCCATCAAAGCTAGTATAAGCTAGTAAAATTTGAAAGTTTTGAGGGTAGTAAACCCACCTGACCAGAAGAATATTGACACAATTTCACTCACTGTGTAAACATGGTAGAGGGCAGTTAACAGTGTTTTTTCAGAGTATATCATGGTTCAAACCAATGAAGGTTTCAGCTGTGTGTTGTGATGTATGTAACTGTTTGAAACTGTTTTCATCTTTGTAGAGTACCTTCTTGAGGCGATGCAGTTGACAAGTTCGGAACATGCTCTGGAGTCCCTTCGGCTGCAGCACAAACACCATCTACATCAGCAGGAGCTCATCCTTGAAAACCGTGTAAGGATTGAACGTGCTCACAATGCTCAAAAAAGCTCAGAGAACAGGACCAATCAGAGCTGTCAAACAGACGACCTTGACACAATTGATGGCGACCTTGACCCAAATCATTTCAGCGAGGCAAGTTTGTACCGTACAATGACTCACACAGACACACTATTAGCATTCCTAAATCAACGTAAAGACTCTCAGGAACCCAGCTCACCAAAGACATCAGCTCCACGAGTGACCTTCGTTAAAAACCCAAATGACGAAAATACTGTCATACAGGAACTCCAAACTCACAATGAGCAACTCCAGAAGCATGTGAAGCTCCTGCTCAGAGACTTGGACTCTGTCAGGAGAGAAAATGAACAACTGCAGACACAACTCAGGGAGAAGGAAACATTGAAACATGTGATGTCAGAACCAGTGTTCAGCCCAGACCATTTCACTCCGTTTGACCTTCCCCCTCTTGAAATGCCGACCTTGAACTTGGATATGCTTCAAGAGGGGTTACAATCAGATGATGCACTTACTGAGAAATAGACTCCTTTGTGAAACGGCAGCAGTGATGTATTTTAAGATTGCCTCTTTGTTGTCTTGGGTGTGATAATATTGTTCATTCATGTTCAAATTTCAAATTGTTTGAGATGTTATTTTATTGGTAGAATAAGGATATGTACTCTCTGACTTCTTTTTCAAATTAGAAGTTGAAACTTGAAGATGTCTCCTGTAAATATTAACATATTTTTAGAAAAATAATATTTTTTAATTTTAGTTTATTTTAAGTGAATACAATCAGCAACTTGAACATGAGTATTGGATGTAATAGCATGGGTAGTCATTGTTGTCAATAGTATCTTGTGATGGTGATAAAACTATTCAACTTCATCATGATGTCATATCAAGATAGCAAGAGTGAGCAGGTTTAGTTTTACGCCGCTTTTAGCAATTTTCCAGCAATATCATGGCAGGGGACACCAGAAATGGGCTTCACACATTGTACCCATGTGGGGAATCAGACCCGGGTCTTGGGCGTGATGATCGAATCACTTTCACCACTGGGCTACCCCAACGCCCCAGGATTGTAAGAATATATATGTACTGGAATATACAAGTTTGTTTAAGAAAGAGCTATTTATTTTGATTGTTAGTTCTACACATGGCTTAATCTGGTGTCAAGTTTGAATCTCATATTTGTGGTTCCTGGCTCTTGTTATATGCTCAATTTCATGTTATTATTTCAGTTTTACATGTTTAAAGGAAACAGTTTGTCATCCTGGTACTTTGTGCAATAGTGCTGCACAATACCTAGTGGACTTTGCAGATCAACCCAAAACTGACGGGTAGAACTAAATGAAGATAAGGCCAAGCTGTATCTGCTGATACAGAACTTCCACAGACAGAACATGATACTGCTGATAATATATATCGTCGGAGGTAGTTCCAGCTTCTTAAACTGTGGGAATTCCAGATAAGAATAATCCCCAGAAACCATCTTACAAGGCGAGCTACTTGAGTGGCAGGCTTAGTGGCTTGGTTGAACGCATGTCATCAGACCTCGGTGACCGGTGTCAATGCTCACAATATCGACCACTGGTTTGTTATGTTTCAACCACGATCTGGGTTATTGACTGTTAGTAACATGTGGATAATACTGCTTCTCTGACAGTGAGTTGAATTATAAGTTGGATTTGTTTGTTTGTTTGTTTGACACAACACTGAGCAATGTTCCAGCTGAGTAAATGTGGTCTGTAAATAATCATGTCGGGGCCGGGGAGTATAGCGTTGACATCACAAGCATCAACCTACACATACAATGAGATGCTTCAACCAAGTCAGGGAGCCTGAGCACCAGATCCTATTATTCACCTTTCATGGGTTGTTAACGAAATCCAACCCAGGTCTTCACAGGGTGCATACTTAGTGCAGGGTAAGGTAATGTTTCATTCCTAGATCTTTTGTCTCAGTGAAATGTCTGTTGAAAGGTGGTAAGTTTTTCCAGGAATAGTGTGTTAATGATGTTGTTTAGGTAAGATTGTGACGTTAATACTGGTATCAGTATGATATATGCTGGACAAATATAGTTAGGGATATGTAAATTTTGAAATTATGAATAATGATATATTTATTCATGGACACATTGATAAAATATCAATCATAAAAATACCAATATCCCTAACATATTTTGTCCAGTATATAAACTATGTTGTCTGGCACTAATATTTGTTTAAGCTACTCTCTGTTAATTATAAAATGATCTGTTATGATGACTGTTTAGCATATTTAGTTTCTCAGAGACAGACATATCTGTGTATATGTGGGCTATATTCCTTGGCTTTGACTTGATATGCAGAGTTGTGGCCCTTACTTTTCACACAAGAGTGAGTGAGGTTAGTTTTACGCCGCACTCAGCAATATTCCAGCTATATGGCGGCGGTCTGTAAATAATCAAGTCTGGACCAGACAATCCAGTGATCAACAGCATGAGTATCGATCTGCACAATTGGGAACCGATGACATATGTCAACCAAGTCTTGGTTGTCAACATTACCAGTTCTTGCAGCTTTCACCTCCAAGTGCGGCATCACTTAGGGAGATCCTCCCACTTCAACCCGACTCTCTGTGATAAGACTGAAATACTATTCAAACAGTATTATTCCCAAACTCACTACAATCTGCATCAGTTGCTAGTGTTCTACTTCTCCCTTACTTAACAAACTGTGATAAACTGAAGTACTGTTCAGGTGGTTAATTCTCTCAGTCACTGGTAACATGTAACAAGCATATCTTTACTACATTCCAAGTCTAATGAATCTGTATTATTTTGTCAAGATAAGTCCATCATTGCATGTAAATATTAGATTATCATAGCAAGGGCCCCAGCTGTCTTTCTCTGATCCATTTGAGTCAATATATATGTTGTTGTAAATATAGCTGACTTGGGAAGTATTGACACATTTATCATCATGAGAAACTTTTAAGTCTCATTTGGAAGCTGGTATGGAGGAGAGGAAAATTTGGTATGGATTAACAACTTCTTTACTGCAATAGATGCAACGTTTTGTTCCTCTTCTCATCAGCCGTAGTTAGGGGACGTGTGGGGTGACCATGGCAACTGTTTTTGTAAGCGAGGTCAACTTCTTTATTATGAGGAACACAATGTTTCAGAGTATATCCTTACTCCATCACCATGATAAAGAAGTTGACATCCATAAAAACTCTCTTCCTTATGTGTATCACTTATGAATGCCAAAGACCTGTTGTCCCCTTACTTCTTGCTGTTCTCATAACTGACAAACTGCATTTTTTCATCATGAAGGTGCCTTTCATTGTTCATTTAATTCAGCATCCAGTCTTTTCATGGGATGAGGTGTGACATCAAGTTCAGGGCCTAGACTTTCGAAGCTCTCTTAGCTCTAAGGTAGTCGTAAGTGCCATTCATTACCATTAACTTACAACTATCTTAGCTCTAAGAGAGCTTCGAAAATCTAGGTCCTGGACTGTTGCTCTCACATAGCAGCAAGCATGTGTCTGCTTGTTCTATTCTGGACTTGGGCTGGTGTTTTAGTGCTTAAATGGCCCCTATAACATGGATAGCACTAGATAGCATCCTTACAGTGAGTTTAGTTTTACGCCGCTTTTAGCAATATTCCCGCAATATCACGGCCGGGGACACCAGAAATGGGCTTCACACATTATACCCATGTGGGGACTCAAACCCGGGTCTTCAGCATGACAAGCGAACACTTTAACCAACTGGCTACCGCCCCATCATGGTTACAATTGGACCAGCAGTTGAACATTTTTTTCTATACCTCAACCCCAGTGCCACACAACATGGAAATAACATTGTGGCTTCTTTGAGAGGCATTTAGAATTTGAAGTTGTAAGGAAGGATAACAATGTATGGATGGACAATGTTTCGAAGTAGGTTCTAACACTGTTATCAAGCAATACATTGTGGCTTGATCCCTCAACAGTCAGTTGCTCAATTTGTAACTTCCGAGACCTTGCCTCATTTCGTATCACTAAGTCTAAAATATTGCCTCATTTCGTTTCACTAAGTCTAAACTGTTGCTTAGCTACAACATGCCAAAATGTGTGAAGGAACACAGATTGCCTTTTGAAAGATTGTGACATGGAAAAAATGTTTATTCTTAATAAATATCCAGTGTATGTTTGTCTGAAAGTATCACCAGTTGTTGACATATCGTAAAACATTTTCATGTGTGTTTTAAGAAGCCTGGAAACTCATTTATGCGTCTTAGTTAATCTGGTGTTTCTAATTTTGTTTGGTTTTCACATTTGATTTATGTTTTTTGAACAGACTCTTGTAAATAAATGGGATTCATGCGACAATTTTTATTCATTGTTTTCCTTGTGAATTTAGGCTGGATGAACACAAAATCTAAAAAAAAGAAGAAAAAAAACATATTAGAAATATTCTCCAAAATGTTTCAATTGCCAAATCGTCACAGTTATTGAAATAACATAACAGATCATCCATTGTCAAATAACATGACTGACATGAACTCTCAACTGTGCATTCTGATTCAAATAGCAAATGTAAATCCCATACCAAAACGGTGTTAAGAAATCTTCAAAACTCAGAACAACCAGGCTCCTTAGCACTAGAACATACACTTTCACACTAGAACACAGGACCAGTGAGTGGACAATAATTAGTGGTCTTGTCTACTTCACTGGTCCACTGCAGTGACTGGGAATGTAAATCTGGTTCCTGTTTTCCCATGCGCTTTGACTTGCGAGTATTACTTTATTTGAATCCTCGCCAAAATATGCGATCTCACTTTCTAATTTAAAGTCTATTTTAATTATATAGATGAAGAAAAAATTCACTGGCCACCAGGACCACTGCAAACTTTTCATTAAGTGGTCCTGATGAATTTTTACTAGTCAGGGACTGCAGGACCAGCGCAAATTTTGCACACTGGCGTAGCGCTATGGTTGCTTTGTACAACGGCACCTTGTTGTGTAACCCCATCAGACCTTGGTTGTGTGGCATCAGTTGCAGAATTCTTAAAGAACGAGGCTAAAACCATCCAACATTTGCACAGCCTTTATTATCAACAAAGTAGGTCAACATCAGGAAGAGGATCAGTAAGAGAACATGTCACTATCTGTTAATAGACGCATTAGCTACTCAAAGACAATCCAGTCCTGCATTACCTTGCACCAACAAACAGGGATGAGAATATCATTTTCAGATAACACTGAAAAAAAGTAGCCATGGAGCTGTCAGGCTATATTCCTAATGCCTCTGTTATATTGGCAAATATCACAAAGGGAACCCTTGACATTCCACAGAAGATTCTCATCCCTACATTGCACAAACACATGGAGACAGTGCTTGTATAAACACTGATACACATGTATATAGCAGAGCATAAACCCAACACAAACACATGGAGACAGTGCTTGTATAAACACTGATACACATGTATATAGCGGAGCATAAACCCAACACAAATACATGAACACCATGCACATACATTTTCATTTGTGTCCTTGCCAGTAAAAACTGTATGTCTTGATGCACATGCAGGGATTTACAGGACGCGAATTCATGAGTCCTATACAGATAAAAATTGACAATGGATGCACAAAATTTATTAGCGTGTCCACAGGGACTCCGAAAAAGTCCAAATACTTTTTGTAAAAATTCCAATAAAGTGACAATAAGTTATCACTGGGTTTGCTACTAGCTGGGTTAATATTTTAATTACAGTAACAATGTGATGATCATGATACACAATACAATAACAACATTAATAATAATATTTAAGTGTCTGGAACCCCCATTTTGCTGTCCAGGACCCCTGAAAATTAAGAGTATGAGTCCCAGGGACCCTCAAATACAGGACTCCATGTAAATCCCTGCACATGCTTACCCACTTACATAGTCTTCATACCTTCTAGTAAGGTGTCCATTTGTGTCTTGTATTATTGATACCAAATATCCATAAATGAGTGTTCCCTTATTTTTAACCTTCAGTATACATGATCTCTAACGCCGAAAGGTTCTTCTTTTTCATAGATGGCAGACTCAATAGTAACCTTATTCTCTTGCACATGGGTATACAAAGCAAACACCAAAAGGTCACTGTATTATTCTCCCAACAAAAAAGTTAAAACACCTCAAACGGGTCAGTTACTACTAAACACAGTAAGGTAGATCGTCGTCTTTGGTTAATGAAAACAGAACAAAGAACACAAAAGGTTTAAATTCTGTGATGCAGCAATATTTAGCGATAGCATATGTACAAAGTGTCGAATGTAAAATGAGTGGAAATAAGATTCAAATGTACTATGAATCAGTGCAATTCTTAGGTAAAAGGTCCGACCATTTTTTCTCTCGTTTTGCAGATAAACCTAACCTAAATTTTTGAAAAGTGAACATGACAAATAATTTAAAATGTTCATTCATTATTGTTGTCTGAAAATAGGCTTATTTTAATGTCCTTTCATTTCAACTTCATTGTTATATTATTTTCAGATTTTAACTTCAGAAAAATAACTACTTATTATGCTTAGAAACTTTATGATGATTTATTTGTTTCTTGGGTTTCACTCCTTCCTATTCTCAGCACATTCGACCCCTAAATCATAAAAAAAGTTTTAAAAAACATTACATGCATCTTGCCAAAATTTCTTTCCTCTACGGGGATTGAAACAGTGCTTAATTTTATGCCATGGCATAGATAATATTGAAGTGGTACTTTAAACATATTTTCAATGTGCCCTGGCTGAAATTATGAAAATAATACTCACAATTTTTATTGTTAATTGAAAATGCGATAAATTAGACCAACAAAAGTGATTCAACACCTATTTGTGTACCCTATCAAAGTCTTAGGTAAGTGGCACAATCAATCTCACAGCTTAACATGGATGTGGAATTTTGAATGTGAATCAATGTGCATAACAGGAAATCCTGTTTTGGATGACAACACACTTTCTGGGTTAGTTTATGGATCCAGAACAAATGAAACTGAACAATGCTTGCCATCATGACAGTGTTCAGGAAATCCAGCTCTCAAGTTTACATGATGTTTACTGATTTATTAACCAATAAATTGAAATGACATAACTGTTGTGATATTACAAGTTAAAATGGATCATCAAAAGGTATGAGCACATAGTTTTTCACAAACGAACACCATATTATCTGTCTATTGCCCAACAGCACCCTTTGAAAAAATGGCATTGCTGTCATTGCTCTCTCATTTCCTTTCAAAGTCATTGCAGCATCTGAGATTGGTGAAAACAGGATAGCCATATACCAGAGATCACTTCTACAAATACAATATACACCAGTTCTAAGAATCAAGACTACATCAAAACAGAAGTGTAAATGATATTCCCTCAAAAGGTCATAAGTATAGCCTTGACTTTCTAGATATCCCTCATGTTTCTTGTAGTTCAAGCTTGTTAGGAAAACAAACATACCTTGTAACACAAGTACAGTGCTATAATTCTCTTGTGGGATTCCATATCATGTTTACTGATTCGTTTGACGGTAACTGGAAGAAAACCAAACATGCTGAAACCTTAAAATACAGAAATTGTTACCAACATTTGTTGCACTTCTTCCTAACAGTTGCCATCACTAACAGTTCAACGTACATTTCGAAGTCATGAAACAAATATATCAAAATCACAACTCTTTTTCAATTCAATTCACAAGTGAGTGAGTTAATATTTAACGTCACATCGGCAATATTTCAGCCATATCGTCAATTCACAAAAATATAACAAAGCTTACATAACATTTCATCTGTACGACATATAAGTGACTGTGACAACAGATGTCTACAAGTGTTCATAACGTGATAGAAAGTATAACAGACTTAACACTGACATGCAGCCAGAAATCCTTGGATGAGATGGGAAAGTGTAACTCAAAACATAATGTACCAAATAAACTAGAGCATGAACTTATTATATATGGTGGCCTATTTGCAATTAAAATCTAATATTACAATAATAATCTTAAATTCCTACTGAAATCAACAAATTTCCAGATTAACGAATCACTTGAGAAATATCACACTGTAAAGCTCTGCAGTAATCGTTGCCAATGTTTGGTTTCTGTATCAACACTAATAACAGGGCTATTGATAGTACTGTAATAATGATCCAATAATCGGGTCTTTTACATCCCCATTGAAACTGACAACAAGATTTCCAGATCAAACAATCACTTAAGAAATAGGACACTGTATACAAAAAGAGCATTTTCAGCAGCAATTGTATACAAGGTATCTTGTCTCAGGTCTTTAGCATGTTCAGGGTTGGATAAATAACGGTTCATAACACCTGTATAGGTAGTTGACCTGATTAGTTTGGTTTAGTTTCGGTTGCTGTTTAACGCCACACTCAGCAACATTCCAGCTATATGCAGTAGTCTGTAAATATCAAGTCTGGACCAGACAATCCAGTGATCAACGATCTAGGCAACAGGGTTAGAATGACATGTGTCAACCAGCTCAGCGAGCCTGACCACCCGATCTCGTTAGTCGCCTTTTACAACAAGCATGGGTATTGACCTGATTAAGAATAAGCAGCACTAAGGAGGAGAAAGTGAACTTGAACTAAGTGCAGTGATCCAAGTGATAAAATAAAAATATAAAATTATAAAATAGCAGTGATTGCAAACATAAAATTAATCAACAGCTGAATTTTGTTCTGATACTTAAAATGAAAAAGTGCAGTGTTCTACAGATTCTGAAAGAACAGGAAAATGTATCAATGGAAAAGGTGTGATTGGAATAGAAAACATAACAGCCCAACAGACATGCATTTGGACACTTATCCAACAAAGAGTAGGTACAAAAGTAGCACTATTCTCAACCTAAGGTCTCATATCATGGCCACCTATGAAAAATTAATGCAAGTACATTTAATATATTCTAAACAAAGAAATAAGTTTTTAAGCAAAATATGCCTAAAATATATCCAAAAATGTCGTGATTATGTGGGAAAACGTGATCTTGGTCTTTTTGAAAGACTTTTGAGGTCATTTCTCTGCAGAATTTCCATGATTACTAAGTATATTGGCAACATGATTTATCATGATCATCACGTAAAGAACTACTGTTGCTTCATCTTGTCTGCATCCAACAACCACCTTCGATATAAAACGAAGAACATGTGATAGGTGTGATGTAGTACAACAGCTGTAACTGAAAAATTTGACCTAACATTTCTAATTTTATGTTGTTTAATTTTATAATTGTACAGATCAATTTAGCTGCAATATAGCAAGATACTGCCAGTCGTCTATACTAGATGTCAAATGAATCAATACAAATGTGATGACCCAGACTGGAAGGTTCCAACAGAGTATGATTCAAGTCCTTAGCCTACATTAATTACCTGCATGTGTCATGTGCATACCTGTGTAAATACATAAACCCTCCAAACGCTGCCACTACACTTATATATGCATCCATATATATATGCAATAATACTCTAGCCTGAATTAACAATTAAATGAAATCATAACAAAAGCCACACTTTCTAATCACTCTGAGAGAAGGTGCATTTCCGCCTTGAGTTTATAGGCCGGCCAGCGACACATGGGGCAGTAATGGTGTCCTTTGTTCAGCCAGCGGATGATACAGTCTTCATGGAAGGTGTGTAGACAAGGCAGACCACACAGCATCACACCAAACCTGTAGTCGTCCAGGCAGATCACGCACTGGGTCGCTGGTAGAAAGCCTTCAGGGTGGGTTGAATCAATCGGAGGCTTGTCGGGACAGCTTAATTTACACGTACAGGTTATTGTCTTTTCTGGATTGGATGGAAGCTGACCTGTAAGATTGTCAAGACAAGGTGGTGAGGAGATATCCGGGGTGGCTGTGTAGCCTAATGAGCCTTCAGACCAACTGTCAGCCCTGTTGTCGGGCAGACTTTCTTTCTTGATTTCATCATCCGGGCATTCTATTGGCTTGCAACACTCACACACTTTACTCGTGTCTTCAGCGGGTGAAGGAAGTTGACAGCGCCATCTTGGAAGATCAGGAATATATGAAAGGGAGATAACTGGCCGAACTGGGTTGAATAAACGTCCTGTTAAAAAGTTCATTCCAAGCTCTGAGGGTTGTAAACGACCGCTGAAAGGATCCACAGGACGTATCAGATGTTCAAGGGTCCTCATTTCAGCAAAATTCCAGAAATTTTCATCCTCCTGTTCTGCTTCATCTTCACCGCCTTTACGTTTATACTCAATAAATCCAACCAAAATCGTGTAGGCAATAAACACAGATGTCAGGACAGTTGAATGTAAAGTGTAAAACGAGAGGTCTTTTCTCATATGTACGGCCATGTTAGTGGTTGAAATCATCCGCAGACATTTCAGCAACCAAAGAGGAACTCTGTCTAGATGGGGCAACTGAAATATTCCTACAATGGGTAGCCACAACATAATGAGAATAATATTACACTTAACGAAATACCACAAGAATCTTTTCAAGCGTTTACATACTGTTCCTTGCACAAGACATAATTCGAAAATTGACAAAACATTGGTCATAATGAAACTAATGATGAATATATCATTTAAGCAAGGGTATAACGTCTTGAAATAATTTTCCATGGCAGGAAACGAAAGATTTTCACCATTTTCCGTCCCATACAAAACATTTTTTTCGGCTGTGATGATCATATAGGACGGTATAGCAGCTTTGGTTCTATTTCTCATAACCATGTACTTCATGATTTCTTTTCCGCCTGATGATCTGGTGTCTACCATACCAAATTTTACCCTGCCTGGGAACTTCACACTAAGTGCTGAATAAAACATTGGTATGTTTTTCTGATTCGTAAAGTAGACCGTCCGAATTTCAGGATTCAAGAATGGATCTTTGAACTTGTACCAATCCTCAACAAACTGTTTGGTATGAGTTATTTTTTCAACTTTGCCGTCCTAACTTTTCCCGTATCCAGTTATACAGCAGGTTTGTCTTTGTGGGTCCGTCGTAGGTGTGAATGTGAACATTGGACTTGGCCTCGAACTCTCCTGGTAGAGCCAAAAGAAGTCGGGGTGTGTGCCAACCTTTGTTGAGACAGTACCTACAACATAATCATTATAAGTGCATAGAGAAATAGATTCAAATATGTTTAAATCTATATCTGCTTGAACGGAATGGTCATGTCATTTGATGGACACTGCAAAATCAACAGAAAATAATAGTTGTTAGTAAAAGTGATCATAGTGATGCCATCATGATATAAAAAAACTCACATGTGTTCCTTTTGTTTGTTGTTTAATATATTCCAGCTATACAGCTGCAGTCAATAAATAACCAAATCTGGACCACACAATCCAGTGACCAACAGCATGAGCATCAATCTACGCAACTGGGATACAATGACATGTATCAACCAAGTCAGCAAGCCTGACCACCCAATTCTGTTAGTTGGCTGTTGTTGTTGTAGGAGGCGACTAACGGGATCGGACATTTGACAGCCAAAATATGATGATAAACTCTGCACATCAAGTTGAACTCCTAACAGCAAACGAGCTCCTTACAGTGATTCATATGACATTTTTGTATGCAAATAATAAATAGACGTACTAGCAATGTGAGGAGCTTAAGGAAGGCTCATTTTGAAATCCAGAAGTTTCAATATTTTGATTTTGATTTCCGATTGTTTGACATTGATCTACACAACTGGCATATGATGACATGTGTCAACCAAGTCAGCGAACATGACCACCCAACCCCGTTTGTCACCTCTTACGACAAGCTTTGGTTCTGAAGATCAATTCTAACTCGGATCCTCACCGGTTAAAGTAAGTCATCCATACCAAGTATGTGAAAGAGAGATAACATGTTGGTTACCTCATGTCAAGTGAGCAGTCAAGTATTCCAGCTCGGACTCCGAATCGCGACACCTTTTTCCTGATGCTCTTCCAGCGCGAATCTCCAAGCAAGACTGGTGTTCTGTGCGCGTTGTAAACCTGGATCAACCAAACACTGTCCTTGGCATCTTCCACTTGTTCAAAGAAATGGCGCCTGAGGTGAAATTGGTGACAGTGGACGTCTCCTCCTCACGAGCAGCACTCACCACCTCTTCATCTGTTACTGGACCTAAAGTTAATTCAACCAAGTCAATAACTATAACATCTCAGTAACCATGGAAACAATGACTGTTTCATAAAAACAGCTAAACATTGTAGGTTTACCTATCAATTGAGTGATGGAGTGTTACTCTTTCCCACTAACAAGTAATCCATACAAAAGATTGGTTGATAACATGAACAAATACCCATTCTAGCAGAGTATTGTCAAGGCTATGGTACATGTTCAGGGCCAGGTGACTGATATTGTTACCATCTGATCCCCATTCCAAACTCTTACATTTACAAAAACCATAACATATGTATCAGAATCAGATTCTTGAGGACAATATGTTGTATAATATCTGCTATGGAATCACAAAAGGGCTCTGTTAGATCTGCCTTATCACATTTACAATATTACTTCATTGTTCATCTACTAGATAGATTTTCAATAGTATGCAACAAGTCAGTTTTGCAACATCATTTCGTGTATATATTTCTCTCTTTTGATGAAAATGTGCCATAGTAAGATTTGTCAAGATCATGTCTAAACAATAACTGGTTGTTGGCAATAATTTGTCCTGGGCAATAGTCAGAATACCCAGATGCTAACCACTAGACCTTAGATTGTCATGGCAACAATACTGCACTGGGGACGGCACCAAGAGGGTCAAACATCATTAAAATATCATATATCTTGAGTAACGTGCATGACATAGATAAAATTAGTAATGGTTCACTGGTGAACATAGAGTAGGTTGCACATACCAGACCCTTCTACGAGCTCCTTCAGGTCGGATTTCTCCAGCACAACTCCTTCAAAGCCGACACCACGCTGTTCCAACAAGGCTTTGAGTTTCATCACGGACAAAGTCATCGGGTCCAGCAACCTCTTTGATAAGGCCCCGGTCTCGTACCAGCTGATTGCTTCCAACATGCGGGCCAAGATGAACAGCACGACGATGTAGATCAACAGGAGACACAGTTTCAGCCACATGTTGCCTAAGTATATCGTCCACTTGTTCCCGGCAAGACTGAATTTTGTTACGTCAGATAACTTTGACAGTTCAGTGACACGTCAACCGTTGCAGTATAAGCTTGAATATCATGTTTGCTGGCGCTTACATCATTGTAAAAGTATCTTTCGTGGTTCTTGGTCTCTTCTGCTGTCTTACTAGATGGTTGTTAAATGTATCTTGTGATTTTAGACCGTGTTATTCGTCTTTCTCGACCTGCTTCGCCCCAGAAGCTGACGACCCCTGACCCTACCCAAGATGGCGGATGTAAATAATGCAATCACGTGACACAGGTGCGAGATACCCATATACAACGACTATATGTCTGTCTTCACAAACTGTCTCTTATGAAATTTATTTAATTTTCAATTGTTTTCACGGCCCAGTTTGAACGCATGTTACATTCACGGAAATCAATATTGCTCCACTAACAAAATCCAAACTTAGAGGTGACCACAACATCTGTGTTTATCAAGCTCCGAACAGCGATAACCCGTTACCGGATGGAAACGAAAGTACCAAAGAGGCGCTGGTGTGGAGCTTGTTTGAGTAATGGTCAAAGGGAAACAACTCTTCAGACTTTTGTTAAATTACTTTTTTCCGTTTGCGGTGTTAGTTCCTTTGGAATAAGAAGTTCTGTTCACCCATCTTAATTAAGACTAAAGTAATCTTTTTCGTGAATACACATATTTATTTCATTTGCGAATACTTCAATGGGACGGATTTCGGTGTATAAGTATTTTTATAAGTATTATTGCGTTTAATTATAAATGTATACATTAAACGTTGTGTGTTGCCGATGTTCACTTATGGATATGCTTTGATCAAGAATCCTTTTCCAAAGTTTCTAATGTTAAGTTAATTGTTGTATTCAACACGAACTAGCTAGTAACTGACAGTCTATAAGTAACTTCAGATCTATTCTTAAACTGAAATAAAAGGATGTGTTTTCTGCAGCTTGTGAAACGAATTTCGTCTTTGACAAAGACTACGTCAAATATAGAATATGTTACGTGTGGTTGACGGAAAGTTCCTAGTGCGTAACTACCAAGCCAGGCATTTACATTGATCTACTAATTCAAAATAACATCATCCAACACATCATTATTTGATCTTGATCCAAACATTTAAACCTTATGTCCTAAACAATTTCTTTAAGTGGCATTTTAGAAGTTGGTCAGTGCAATATAGACAAACTTTATGAATAACGACTTCTTTATGTCGTGCTTGACAACGGTACAAGAATCTGTATCGAAATGTCGCACTCACGAAATAAAGAAGTTGTTATCCATAAAGTGTGTCTATATTCTAAACAATTGTAAAATATCATGCGTCGATGTTTGATGGTAGCCAAATGAAACAAACAGGAAACTGTTATATTCGATGGTGATGTTATGCTACGGATGTCATATTTGTGTTTCGGCCCTTACGTTTGCCGTTTGCGGAGACTGTTTTCAGCCTGATGACGTTTTGATAGCGTTTATGATAGTTCTGTGAAAATCTAATTTTTAAGTTTTTTGCCCATGTCGAGTGAGTGACTTAAGTTTCACGCCACTCTTTATTCCTGCAATATCACAGCGGGGGGACACCAGAAATGGGCTTCACACATTGTACCAATCTGGGCAATCGAACCCGGGTCTTCGGCGTGACGAGCGAACGCTGTAACCACTAGGCTACCCCTCCGCCCCAGCCCATGTCGAGGAGTGTGGGTGTTCCGGATATCGTGTGTGTGTATGTAGTCCGAGCCGCCACATACGTTGTACGTCACACCACATGGCCCTCGGGATCACTTGACAACAAATTTATCTTACCGACATTCATTCATACAGGTTCGGAACATATATATGTCAACCGCTTCGAGGACAAAGCAAAACCCACAGCAGACGACGCAAACGAACCGAGTTACTTCCCTTTACCCAATGCATTCGGATAAACATCGGTTTAACTCAGAAACTCAACTATCCTTATGCGAGATAAACGTATACCCTCTGATAAGTTCCGATTGATTTCTCAGCGCGCTGAGTGAGTGCTCTTAGCAATATTCCAGCAATATCACGGCAGGGGACACCAGAAATGGGCTTCACACATTGTATGCCCAAGTGAGGAATCGAACCCGGGTCTTGGGCGTGACGAGCGAACGCTTAGACCACGAGGCTACCCCACCGCCCCGCGTGCTACCTGAAAAATGGGGAACTTTGAAGCATAGTTTCGTAAAACGATTAGGAAATGTGTGGTTCGTGGCTATTTGTTACAGTACCTAAATATAACTTTACTGTTTTTACCACAAGAACCGTCTTCAACATTGTGTCACGTGATGCAATGGACGAAGTACGAAGGTACTCATAACATCAATCACTGGACTGTCCGATCAACCACTGGACTGTCCGGTCTAGAGATCCGTGAAGATCCGGGGTAGAATAGGTCTTCAGCAACCCATTCTTGCCACAAAAGGCGACTATGCTTGTCGTAAGAGGCAACTAACGGGATCGGGTGGTCAGGCTCGCTCGCTGGCTTGGTTGACATATGTCATCGGTTCCCGATTACGCAGATCGATGCTCATGCTGTTGATCACTGGATTGTCTGGTCCAGACTCTATTATTTACAGACCGCCGCCATATAGCTGGAATATTGCTGAGTGCGGCGTAAAACTAAACTCACTCACTCACTCCGGTCTAGACTTCACTCACAGGCACTGAAACACTGCAGCATTAAACACCATACAAATACAAGTAGTCATTTGTTTGCATGTATGTACTTGAGGTGCATTATTGTAGTATCTGTGGTGACGATCCCTTAAAGTTTGGGTGTCGATATTCTGATGCAATATATCAGTTTGTCATTCATGGTTGTTCGGCCGCCATATAGCTGAAATATTGCTGAGTGCGGCGTAAAACTAAACTCACTCACACACTCGTGGTTGTGCGTTATAACAATATCGTTGTAGTCAAACATTTCTGGAACCACCTGCCATAACTTAGTACCCCTTGCACTTCCCGGTATTAAAGCGTCGATCGTTGTGCATGAATCATATCCTGGCAGAGACCAATACTCTCCTAACCTCCACCCCCTTTTATAGCATTTTAATCACTTTCATAGTTTTTCCCCTATTTTCTTTTTACGTATACCGGATGTTACTATGACAGAAACAGCCGCCACTGTATTGTGCAATACGTGGACGTATCTATAGACATGACGCTAACCACACTCACAGATCTATCAAAAGCTGACATAATATTCTGTGAGTCATTGGTGGGTTTTCCAAAAACGAACTTTCGATTTGCTGAAAGCGAGGGCGCTACCTGCTGCCTGGGCCACACATTTCACGCTCAACAATTCCAGTTAACTTCACCAGTTGATGTTAAGATTCGGTGAAAGGGCTCATCTCGTGATGAGTGAGTGAATTGGGGTTGACGCTAGTCTGAACCGCATCCACTGTCAGGTCACAAGGTGAGTCACTGAGTTTCTATTATTAGGAGATAAACATACTGTGTTGGAAAATCAGAGGTATATAACGTCATTATATACCTCTGAATGACTTTTTAATTAACCTATCACAATCCAGTATTTACTTAAGTCATGATAGAATGCCTATTTCCTGTTGCCAAAGCTACTATATTTGTATTGTATTTACAGTGTAGCCCCGTTAGTCCGGACTCCGATAATCCGGATGTCTCGGCTCCCGGACGATTTTACATCTATTTTAAGTTGTGAGAATGTAAATATCGTGAGACATCTTTGGTCTTTTGATGTGTATCATATGTTGCTGACAACCCTACAACTTCATGGAACATTGGAGTGAGTGAGTATGGTTATACGCCGCTTTTAGCAATATTCCACCAATATCACGGCGGGGGACACCAGAAATGGGCTTCACACATTGTGCCCATGTGGGGAATCGAACCCGGGTCTTCGGCGTGACGAGCCAACGCTTTGACCATTACCACTAGTCTACCCCACCGCCTCCATGGAACATTGGAAATATTTCTTAACACCAATATGTTTGGGCGACTCCACCGCTTTCGCTCACCTGTCAAATGAAATGTACACTTCTGAGTGTTAAAGTTTGGCATTTGATCTGTAACGACATGCACTGTTATTGTTGACAGCAATATTTACCTCCTCCATACACGCAGCTTTGACAGCACAGTGCAGATTGCGCTGACCTACAAAGTCAGTTTCGTAGACGTAAACACACGAGCTCCCCCGAAATCACGTTTTCCTGGAAAGCTGCTTGTCTATACACTCACCCATTGACGAAGCTAATCTGGCGATAAATCAGAAAGGGAATCCCAAGGCGAAAGTGCAGGGTGTCTCTCGCTACAATGCAGTTCGTATACTGAAGCGACGGTTGAGAGTATAACTCGCTATACCGCCAGGCATACTCAGTTGAATATACAGAATATCACTCGCTATACCGCCAGGCATACTCAGTTGAATATACAGAGTATAACTCGCTATACCGCCCGGCATACTCAGTTGAATATACAGAGTATAACTCGCTATACCGCCAGGCATACTCAGTTGAATATACACTCGAGCCGGGTGTATGAAGGTACAGAGTATCACTCGCTATACCGCCAGGAATACTCAGTTGAATATACAGAATATCACTCGCTATACCGCCGGGTGTACTCAAATGAAGGTACAGAGTATCACTCGCTATACCGCCAGGAATACTCAGTTGAATATACAGAATATCACTCGCTATACCGCCGGGTGTACTCAAATGAAGGTACAGAGTATCACTCGCTATACCGCCAGGAATACTCAGTTGAATATACAGAATATCACTCGCTATACCGCCGGGTGTACTCAAATGGAGGTACAGAGTATCACTCGCTATACCGCCGGGCATACTCAAGTGAAGGTATACAGAATATCACTCGCTATACCGCCGGGAATACTCAAGTGAAGTGACCAATTTTCACTCGCTATACCGCCAGGAATACTCTAATAAAGGCAGAGAGTATAACTCGCTATACCGCCGGGCATACTCAACTGAATATACAGAGTATCACCCGCTATACCGCCAGGCATACTCAGTTGAATATACAGAGTATAACTCGCTATACCGCCAGGAATACTCAGTTGAATATACAGAATATCACTCGCTATACCGCCGGGTGTACTCAAATGAAGGTACAGAGTATCACTCGCTATACCGCCAGGAATACTCAGTTGAATATACAGAATATCACTCGCTATACCGCCGGGTGTACTCAAATGAAGGTACAGAGTATCACTCGCTATACCGCCAGGAATACTCAGTTGAATATACAGAATATCACTCGCTATACCGCCGGGTGTACTCAAATGAAGGTACAGAGTATCACTCGCTATACCGCCAGGAATACTCAGTTGAATATACAGAATATCACTCGCTATACCGCCGGGTGTACTCAAATGGAGGTACAGAGTATCACTCGCTATACCGCCGGGCATACTCAAGTGAAGGTATACAGAATATCACTCGCTATACCGCCGGGAATACTCAAGTGAAGTAACTAATTTCCACTCGCTATACCGCCGGGCATGCTCAAATAAAGGCACAGAGTATAACTCGCTATACCGCCGGGCATACTCAACTGAATATACAGAGTATCACCCGCTATACCGCCGGGCATACACAAGTGAAGATAAAGAGTATCACTTGCTATACCGCCGGGCATACTCGAGTGAAGGTATCACTCGCTATACCGCCGGGAATACTCAAGTGAAGGTACAGAGTATCACTCGCTATACCACCGGGCATACTCAAGTGAATGTACAGATCTAGAGTATCACTCGCTATACCGCATCGAAGACTCGAGCAAATGCACACAGTCGCATTCCTTGTATACTGGCACTCATGCCTGGTGTGTGAACGGGATATTAATAGAGATTATTACACGAGCAGGTGTGCCATACGATTTATACGAAACGAGTGTGGAATTGTGTGAAACAGGTGAGGAAATGAATTCTACCGCTACACTCGAAAAATTCATTTCTTCGCTGATTTCGTTCAAATTTGGAATATATGTTAATCCTAACATATAAAATCAATATTCGATTGCAAAAGTCTACATTTTTATTTTTAAAAAGTATCGAGATTCGAGCCCCTTTGGTATTTCTCGCTATAAAGCCATACGTAACTCGTGTTAGTTTGGGGTCTCTGTAGTGCCATGGACAATCCAGTCTATGTATATACGTTATATCAAGTCCCTCACTATAACGCCACGCATTGCCTCGTATGTACGAGTTATCGCTTCGGAATTTGTTGTGGTGTCACCCCTATACTGTTATGTATTGTTCGGTTTATGTAGCTGGTATCTCTCGCTATATCGCCGTGCATAACCTATCGTATCTGTCTCTGGTTATACTGCCAAATTATAACCCGGTGATATAAAATTGGAATAATACCACGTGTCCGAAATTACTAGTAACTCAGAAATACACGAAAAGGCAGGGCAAGATGGGAACTGCATCGGACATCATTTCGGCCACTGATGTGTCTAATTTCAAAATGTCCTCTATATGTCTACCATAGAATTTCAAAACGCTTAAATGATGTAATATTAATGAGTCGTGTGACGCTTTTCGAAATCTTCGTGGAAAGAAATTACTCGATTGTATCTCAAAAGCTGTGAAAAGTAGACACCTAATGTTGGAGTTACAGAAGTACTGTTCGGCAAAAGGACACAGCTGAAGCCACCCTCTTGACACAGGCTTTGTACACATATATTTTTGGAATCATATTCACAGTTAAATATAGTAAATCAGCACACACACACACACACACACACACACACACATGGCATAAACATTTACTATGAACCCGCTTGGCATCTACGGTCACAATATTTTGTGACAAATGTTTTTAAGTTTGTACTGTGGGAAAAACTGTATCGAGTTGAAGAATCAAATGTTTAGAAAGAACTGAACTTGGTCCAATTCTGAAATTCCAAATATTCAAGCTTACTTTTGAGAGTCTGAGTTAGCGTACATTTGATTTACTGGCGAAAATGTTTTCACGGATTTTGATTGACTTTGTAATCCAGTTGCACTCAGAAATAGACGAATCTAAGGATTAAGTGATTTAATCAAGCTTGTCCCCCAAAAAATAATTGTTCCTCTCCTTTTCGAGAAATATTATTGAAGCTGTGGCCTTACGAATTTTCTGTTGCTAAGCAAAGTTATCTGTATTTGCAAACCAGCAGGTGCTACGGTCACAATGGCTGACAACATTAGTGGCTCCGTGGCAAGCTACCTGAGTTTACGGAGGGATCCACTAGCTCAGCTCAGTTCTCTGATGAAACTGGCATCGGAGGAGGAATTGACCGAGCTTACTAATGATGACCGGTTTAGTTCCATCACGTCAGAGGATGACTTTATCATTCTTGATGAAGAGGAGGAGGATCGTAAGTTCTGTCTGTTCATTAAGCCAGTTTACCACACAATACACTTTTCTTATTTCATTACTGTATTCCGGGCGTAGTGCAGCGTCAGCAGTATAGTCTGTGAATGTGTCGACAAGAGGGAGATCAGTCCACCGTTCAATAGACCTGTGCTAAATGTTTTATGTTTCTTGTTTAACGCCGTACTTAACAATATTCCAGCAGTATGTCGGCGGTATGTATATAATTGAGTCTGGACAAGACAATCCAGTGATCAAAAGCATGAGCCTCTACGCAAGTCGGATACGATGACATGTGTCAACCAAGTCAGCGAGCCTGACCACCCGATGCCGTTAGTCGCCTCTTACGACAAGCATGGGTTGCTGAAGACCAATTCTAACCCGCATCTTCAGGGCTTCTAAACTGATAACACGACACATGCATACATCTCGAACTAATATGATCCATTTGTTTATTACATTCAAAGACTGTGAACGCCTCAAATATTATTCCAGAGCAACAGTTAACCCTTAAAAGGACGTCGATAAACACCTCGGTTTGCACAGACTCGGTACAACAGGCAACATCGTCTGATATTCCGCCTGACAGGAACGTGGGCAACAAAAACGACACGGTGCAAAGCAGTCATGAAATACCTCTTTCACCAATACAGCAGAAATTCCTCCGAGATCGAGAATCAGCAAGGCACACTCTATGCAGTAAACTGGAAAGGAAAGGGTTCGGGGCAACTTTCAATTTCCAACAACGCCAGGTCGACATTGAGTCCAAAGGAGAAAACAGACATGAGGAAGCTCTGGAATTAATCGAGGGCTCGGTCATTGAGATAAGACAGAACATAAGCAGCGACCTACTGGAGCAGATGTCCCTAGTGGTTGATATTGCGGACGGGGAACAGACCGTTTTGCCGGAGTTGCCCGGTGCCGAGGATGTTCTTGCCGTCATTGATAAGACTAGCGGAAGTATGACGTTTGTTGGCATGGCAGACACTATCGATTGTTTGAAAAAAACTATTACTAAGTCAATCGAACTGTTGGACAAAAGAAACAAAAACCAAGAAGAACAAGGGGCATCTGCATCACTTCATGGGGATAATGAACCAGGAGGCACATCAGCTCCAGAACAGACATCTCTCCACTCGCGTCTTTGCAACACTCCAAGAGAAGAACACCAAGCTGTTGACCCTGCTCCAATTAAGGACTTTGTGCCCGTTAATGATGACTGTCTGGATTATTTATGCCAGTTTAAAGAGGATGAGATACGGTCGATTGGAGAGAAGGAAGGTGTGAGCATCAGTGACACTCCACAAGGCTACGAGGTCCGAGGTGCTGCGACAGCAGTTGGAAGGGCCGTGGTCACACTGCGTAATACTGTTGAAAGAGTGAAGAGCAACAAGTTTACTTTTGAAACCTCAGTCAACATTGGGAAGTTCGCTGAAGCTACTAGAAATGCCAGCACAAACCATAACTGCATTATTGGGTACAAGCAGACGATTGGTTCAGTGAGAGGCAGGAGGAGGGCACAGACACAACCCATGGCATCGTCCACCACAGGTGAGAACACTGAAGCAGAATGTTGCGTTTATAATGGGTGGTGGTGTGTGGTACTGTGCATACTGTACAGCGCATTATACATGCTATATTATTAAAATAATCCTTCACCTCAGATCATAACACTGAAGTAGGATGTTGTGTTTATAATTACATATAATGTATATTCATTTAAATGTGCGGAGTTTTACTTGAGGGTATAATTAGATATTTTAGTATAAATACAGAAGCATCTTTTAATCGAAGCAACAGTATTGAAAATATTTACAGATTTAAATGTGTCTATAGGATATGTTACATTTTGACAATATTGGTTGAAATATTACTCTCAGAATAAATGAGGAGAAGTACTCGCCATGATAAATACCATTTTCCAAGCATACAGGTAAATTGTTATCTGTTCTCGGCCAAAAGGGGCGGTAAAATATGATGAAACTGATCTGAAAATAGTACATACGAAATGTCAGGGCCAGAGACTAACACGACAGATTCCATTGGCAAAATACATTGTAGCGAATGTATATGAATATATTACTCAAAATCAGAGAAATACTATTCACATGCAACATGCACCCTACTGACACAGTTGACCTTGGATTAGGTTCAGGGGGATAGGTCATATAATTTTAATGATTGCCATGATTGATTTAATGATACATGTTGTATGTGAGCGTTGAAACGTCTTTTCTTACCCAGGTATAATAGAAACAATGTATCTTGTGTTTTGTACATTTTCAGGAAAACAAAAAGTCAAAGTTACCGTGGTCTTGGATAGGATAGAAAATCAGAATGTAAGTATTTTTCAGCCTCATACCTACACATTTCCTTCACAAATACCCCTTTCATCATTGACAAGTACGACCTGTAAAGATCCGGGGTAGAATAGGTCTTCAGCAACCCATGCTTGCTACATAAGGCGACTATGCTTGTCGTAAGAGGCGACTAACAGGATCGGATGGTCAGGCTCGCTGACTTGGTTGACACGTCATCGGTTCCCAATTGCGCAGATCGATGCTCATGCTGTTGATCACTGGATTGTCTGGTCCAGACTCGATTATTTACAGACCGCCGCCATATAGCTGGAATATTGCTGAGTGCGGCGTAAAACTAAACTCACTCATTAACAAGTACACTGTCGCCCGAGCATATCAAATATTATATGCTGGCATACTGCCAAAATATGAGCGAATCTACAATCCACGAAGGAGTGCTTAGGTGAAGAAGTACTTGGAAAGGAATGACTGTGTTTTGACATATATCAGTGATTGCATTACTGTTTCTGTAGGTGTCGTGGAACAAAGACGAAAAGTATATTAGCATTAATTGAATGTATTTAACGGTGACCGGACAAAATCCACCCGGACAAAATCCACCCCAAAATTGCCACCCCGGACAAAATCCACCTCTTCTTAACAAAAAAATGGACAAAATCCACCTTTCTCAAATTTTAGTGTGTCCTGATCTTTGATAATCCACCCTTCTCAAATTGCTATTGTTAAAAGTTTTAGTGTGTCCTGATCTTTGATCAAGTTCCTTTTCTCAAGCATTGTCCTGGATTCGTATTTAACTGAATCTGGTTTAAGGAAGGGCGCAAAGGTGTTCCATTTTAACTGGGTGTTTTTTATGTTTTATTTACAAACGGCAACTACTAATGGGATTTCCAGCTGAAAAGGGGGTAGCCCCTACTAAACGTTAAACTCGTTCTCTTTTTTAAATTCAGGTGGACAATTAACTTGCCTTTACAGGTGTGTGTGAGGGGTGCCACCGGTTATTGTTGTTGGTAGTTTTCCCTCGGTCACTGGATGTCAGTCTCAACGGCACATCGTATTATCAATCTCAACTCCCTGGGGAGTATACAGCTCTTGCAGCCACTAGGTGCACCGAGTTATTGTGGCTTTATCATTCTAACGGTTGACAGGAAACTCTTCCTTTTAGACTAGTGGTTAAGGCATTCGCTCGTCACGCTGAAGACCCGGGTTCAATGTATGGCGACGTAAAACTAAACTCACTCCTTTTAGCGAACACCTGCTATGATCACAATCACAGTTTGATAGTTGTTAATAAACACATAGCTATGGTATAAATCGACTTCTAAGAATGTTTAGGAATGAACACAATGCTTATTGTTTGACCAGGCGAATGTGATAGTGAACACCACAAACAAGGAGCTGAAGTTGAGTCAAGGCCACGGTGTGTCCCACAGCTTGCTCCGGGTGGCTGGAGATGAGATACAACAGGTTCTGACTGATATTTACCCCCACGGCATGACCTACGGTGACCTAGCCGTGAGCCACAGCGGACGCCTCACAACCTGTGAAAAGATCTACCATGGAGCACTTCCGCATCACACCGGAATAAAGGATAGACTGGCTCTTTCCAAGTGTTACGAGGTGAGCTGAAGTACGACGTACCGGCTTCAACACGTCTTTTTCTCAACCAATTGATGCGTTCTCTGGCTGTGTGTTGTGCGCGCGTGCGTTACGTGCGTGCGTGTGTGGTGGGGTGGGGGGTGGTGAGGATGATTTTAAGGGGGAGTAACCCATTTTGTTTTGGGGAGGTAGGGGGTCATCAATTTTGTACATAGAACTATTTTTAAATGATGCTTAGAAATTATGGGATGGTGTCATTCATATTGTGCATTCTTCTCCAAACAAATAAATTATGAACGGTCCCTCAGCATTGTCAAACAACAATTGATTGGTTATTTCTGCCAATTGGGCAGGAGCTTGTGCTACTGGGGTTTTAACGTTAACTTTATTTACCTGTACAATCAGGTTGCCATCTGCCGAATTAGAGGTAAAACATTTGCATCATTATATACTCGGACAATAACTAACAAGGGACGGGGAATGACAGTTTATCTTCCCCGAGTTACTGTAAATCGACAAAGTTCCCCGTCAGTAATGTTTTGCGTGATCAACAACCCAGCCAGTTCTCCGTCGTGTTTGTTTTGCGAGTCCTCTTGTAAAAACAAGTCGAATTGTTGACAATACATCGTATCGCTTCGCGCGAACGAACATACAAGAAAAGATCAAAGACGTCAAATTTGCAATTAAACATCGCTAGAAAAGATTATTTACCTATTCAGTTCTCATTTGATTTTACTAGGCATTGTCTTATATGCAGGGATTACGATTACCGTGTGTAATTGTCTCGTTTACAACGCTGGACGTAGCAATCAGCTGTGCAGTGCACGTTACCCTACCGGTGATTTAGTTAAAAAAGTACCCGATAATATACCGAGATGAATTGTGATGCAGTGATCTTAAAAAGATAGTATCTGAAACTATTGTTTTATGAAGAGAAATATATTCTAGTATTGTGTCATTTTCATTGCAGGTTGTGCTCTATAAAAGTAAAATATTTATAATCATAAATCTCAGGTTATGCGGCAGTTTTGACGGATAGTTTGTATGCATGGAACAATTTAACCTGTCACCGATGAGGTTTCGCGCGATGTCGCTATTTCCATTGTGAAAGCAGTTTGTTGAAATATGATCGTCCAGCTACGACTTTTGGCGAAAAAAATATGTATGCGTATCCATTTACTGTCAACTACACTTCATTTTGAGACGTGAGTAGACGCAATATGTTAGTTATTGCTGTGAAGTAATTACCGGTAGGCGAACATTTGGACTTCTTGACATTGTTTGTTCACATAATTTACAAGGACCGGGAATAATTGCTTAACAAAATGAGAGACGTCATTACGCCTGGAAAGTTTTGCGTCCGGAGGTCATTCGCAATACTAGCAAAACTTTCCTGCCCGCAAAACTTTGTCGATTTACAGTATGTTAATTTCGTAATTCCCGAGCCATGGCGAGTTGGTTATTGTTGTTATTCCCATATTAGTTTTCAATCTAAATAACGCTAAAATGAAAAAAAAAATTCTCTACAACCGCGATGTGGGGAATCCCCTATCCCTACGTGTTGAATGGCTGTTTTATTTTCTGGAACAGCCAATCAACGTTCACCAAAGAGTGTAACCTCTCTTGGGACTGACAGGAAAAATACTACCCCGTGTCCTCCTTTCCATGTGTAATAAATCTTACAATATGCATGAACGTCTTCACTGATCAATGAGTACAGATACTAGAGCACAAACGTTCATTTGCGAATTTTACACATTTTGACAACTTAAAGTTACAGTTTTCGACTATTAAATACTAACTTCATTTTAAAGAAGTTTGGTTCAGGATAAACATATTTTAGACTCCAATAAACTCAATTTAGGTTTTCAAGAAATCATCAAAATGATGAGCGTGCTACACACTTTCTATACAACTAACTGAAAATCGTTCCTCATATGACGTCACTGCAGTGCTCTGGCGACAGAGTTACGTAACCTGTCTGTGGTTTCGTTGGCGGGCGAGAGAGAAGCAGGCGACTTTTTGGCCACATTTAATCGCTCGGTATTAATTAACCACAAGTTTTTAAAGAATAAATTTGGTGTTCCGCATAAGACTAACCACAAATCTTTCATATGTAATGGTTAAAAGAGTAACAAAAAACAAAGTTTATTGGTTCTTTAATTATCTTTGTCAATACGGAGATGTTCCTCCACAGTGGCTGGTGTCTCTGGTGTTCCGATGCCTCATCCAGGCAAGCAAGGATGGGTTTGAGACAATTGCACTGCCAGCGTTCGGTACAGGGGCCCTCCGGTATCCTACCAAGAACGTTGCACAGCTCATGTATCACGCTATTGATCTATTCACCCAAGACGAGAGAGCAGGGCCACTGAAAGAGATTTTCATAGTTATCTCCCGTGAGTCAAGGCTGGAAGTGAAACAGGTACTTTATTTAAATCGCGTTTCTGAACACAGTGGAACCACGCCCTCTTATTTGTGTGCTGTCCTGTCATAATCTGGCTGATATTTCTTTCCGGAACATGCTGGAAAATATGCATTTCGTAAAAGATATGTTAATCGATCAGTGTTCTTGTTTGCTTTTGAAAATGTTTTGTTGTGGTTTAAAAAGGTTTACTTTGGCCCCAATATCCAAATTGTATATCGTACAATTCTGCCTGAACAATATCCTTGGCTCTCAAAGCAATCCCCAACTGGGAGATATTACTTTATATACAAGGTGAGAGTAGTGCTATTAGAAGCTGCGTTGTTCAAATGTAAAATTAGAGTAAACACACAATCTATACTTTCAACTTTCAGCGAGGGGGTAGCCAAAGGGTTAAAGCGTTCGGGTTCGATTCCCCACATGGGTACAATGTGTGAAGCCCATTTCCGGTGTCCCCGCCGTGATATCGCTGGAATTTTGCGTCAGAGCGGCGTAAATCTAAACTCACTCACTTACTTTACTTTCCAGGGATCACATTATGTCATACAAATGTTTAGGGGCGGTGGGGTAGCCAAGTGGTTAAAGCGTTCGCTCGTCAGGCCGAAGACCCGGGTTCGATTCCCCACATGGGTACAATGTGTGAAGCCCATTTCCGGTGTCCCCCACCGTGATATCGCTGGAATTTTGCTCAGAGCGGCGTAAAACTAAACTCACTCACTTACTTTACTTTCCAGGGATCACATTATGTCATACAAATGTTTAGGGGCGGTGGGGTAGCCTAGTGGTTAAAGCGTTCGCTCGTCAGACCGAAGACCCGGGTTCCATTCCCCACATGTGTACAATGTGTGAAGCCCATTTCTGGTGTCCCCCGCCGTGATATTGCTGGAATATTGCTAAAAGCAGCTTAAAACCAAACTCACGCACACATATAAAAATATTCACCACTGGGATGTCGCCGTCTTTTGGAATGTTTTAAGGTGAGATATTATACTTTGGTTAAAACTTTCAAAAGTTTGTGAAATGTGTTTTGAATGAAGAATATCTTCACAAGTACTTTTGTCGCTCATTGCAGCTGTTTCTCGCTCATCGCCTGTCCCACAAGCTCAAGACAAGGCAATTGGCTCATCCTAGAACAGGTGAGGTCGTGGCATGAGCAGTAGGTGTGGGATAGAGTGACAGATGGCATTACAGTATCCATAAACCACGTGGAATGACAGGCACTCAGTGGTTTTGTGTTGTGGTGTTTGGCAAAGAGCACAGGTCACACGTGAGTTGTAGTTAAGCAACGTTGAGCGCGGAGTGTCTTGGATGGGTGGCCATCTTTGTCCGCTTGAATCCTGAGATTTTGTAGGGCTTCAGTCCTGCCCCATACGGTAGCACATATAACAAAGGATGTATTACATAAGTTACATGACTTTGCCTCTGTTCACCCAGCAGTGAATGGGTACCCAGTAAGATGAAATGAATGATTACGTGACTATAGCCTTCTAGCGCCTCGCTGGAAGCTTGGTTGTAGTGCACACAGACCCGGGATAATAAAGTCAGCGAAGTTATCGCAGTGTAAGCACATATATGATTTTATCTCTGTGTGCAGATTTAGAATGTTCTTCCAAATTCAAACACCTACCAGATAGCCAGGTGGATAATGCGTTAGCTAATCACCCGGTTTCAATTCCCTTCAATGTGTGAAATCATTCCGAGTCAGATATGATCGCGATGTTTCCCCCCAGTATACAAATAGAACACTTGATTGTTACAGAGACCATTCTTACTATCAACTGTAATGATATTAGATTTGTACATATAACTAGAACATACTTATGACGACAAGAACCGGGGCTATGCGATTTTACTCCATTTTATGGTTTTAGCAGATATCATAGGCACTTGAGTAATGGTATTACCTGTATACCTCAGCAGCGGTAAATATTTGTTTGTTGTTTTACGCCGCACTCAGCAATACTCCAGCTATATGACGGCGGTCTGTAAATAATCGAGTCTGGACCAGACAATCCAGTGGTCAACAGCATGAGCATGATTGATTGACATCACGAGTATCAATCTACGCCATGGGGATTAGTGTTGGGAATTGGTTGAAATCTCACAATTGATGATTGTTTCATTACCAACGAACAATCATCGACAAAAAATTGGTTAGCGTCATTTTTCAGATTTTCCTATCCAGGTTGTTATTGCAGATATGTATAACATGATGCAACTTGCTACTTTAAAGTGATGACTAATATATCATGAACATAAACTTCCCGGAGTCTTCAAGAAATATTCAGTCATGGTTTTTTCAGTTAGTGAAGTGATTTTTCTAAGAATTAAACACGTTTTCAGGCCCTGACAACTTCAACGATATGTTCCATTTTGTCAAGTATTTCAAAGACTAAAACAGTAGTTCCAAAATCGCTTATGTTCGATTATGAGAAAATGTGATCGATTGCTTGGTCGTTTGGTCACTGCGACCAATCTTCGATTATTAAAATTAATCGGAACACCACTAATGGGGATACGTACGATGACATGTCAACCAATTCAAGACAGCGAGCCTGACCATCCGATCCCGTTAGTCGCCTCTTACGAAAACGATTTTACTTGATGTTATTGTTATGCCAGATATCATAGACACGTGGAATAACTCAAGTTGACAGTTAAATTTATAACTTTTCCAGGATGGAACCCGCTCTTAATGTTAATACCTTTTTTACACCCGGTTACGGTCGGAAAGGGATTTCGGTTTACCTGCCTTTTTAAATGAAGGTAAGATGTTATATTATAACAACATGAGAGTTAATTGTTTGACTTACATTCATTTCAACAGTCATCCTATTTTTAAATTGGCTTGTGTATGTATTGCTAGAAGCGCCACAAATCATACCCACCCACTGATACAGGTATACATGTGTGTGCGTGCGTGCGTTTGAGCACAGTATAACCTCGATCACCCGGAACTTGCTACTGCAATAGATTACTGGGGAGGTGAGGTAGCTTAGTGGTTGAAGCGTTCGCTCGTCACACCGAAGACCCGGGTTCGAATTTCCACATGGGCACAATGTGTGAAGCCCATTTCTGGTGTGCCCAGCCGTGATATTCCTGGAATATTGCTAAAAGCTCACTCACTCTCTCAATAGATTACTGCAGGAAACGTCTATTCGCATACGCTGCAGTATTACTATATACCCATGATTCGGATATGTAGACACGTCTTCATCGGGACAATTTCAAAGGGTCACTACCGTCTGGATTAGCGAGGTTTCCCAGCATCGGCGGTGACATCAGTGATTGAACGAAATGGTGACCACCTACTAGCGTTCGTAGTACCAAATGTTATCCTGTGTGAACGTGTTATATAGTAAAATACTTCACCTTCCTTTGTGATGTAGAGGTAGGGAAACGGGACTCCAGATGTGAGGTTAGGATCATGGTGTCCGACACGCTTGTCCAGATTATCAACGGAGGTATTGCAGAGGCGTGTGACGTCACAGGGGCACTGCTCTTGATCTGGAGGACGGAAGATATTACGAGTACGTGACTAAATATAAATGTACATTTATTTATTTATTTACGTCTATTTATTGATTCAGGTATTTATTAATTCATATAGTTAGACGAACCCCATAAAAAAATTCAAAAGGTAAAGGTAACTAATCAATGGTTAATTTAGTCAACACTCCCCTATAAAACTTTTGATGCCCTGTGACACCCCCCCCATATAGTGACACCCCCCACCCAGCCCCAACAACAACAACAACACACACACACACACACCGACATAAATTAGGGTTTCATTTGTTGTGCAGAATGTTTGATTTAACGCCACACTCAGTTATATCTATATGACGCCGGGCTGTAAGTAATCAAGTCTAGAGCAGGCGATACGGTGATTGACGTCATGAGCATCGATCTACGCAACTAGTCATTGAGTCTGACCACCCTTTTGCCGCCTCTGTAACCGCCTCATAGTTTATGTATGTTGATCGAACTTCATCCTACTTGTCAATATTAATGCCACATGTGACAATCCGCATATAACTAAACAAAAGTGATAACTTTCTTTCAGATCCGAACGGCCATTCAGGTCTTACAAGTGTTGACCGTAATAGACACGACTGGGACTGCTGCCGCAGACAAGGTGAGCTACTGCAGTGAGTGAGTGAGTTAAGTTTTACGCCGCACTCAGCAATATTCCAGCTATATGGCGCAGTATGTAAATAATCGAGCCTGGACCAGACAATCCAGTGATCAACGGCATGAGCATCGATCTGCGCAACTGGGAACCGATGACATGTGTTAACCAAGTCTGCGAACCTGACCACCCGATCCTCTTAGTCACGCTACTGCAGTGAGACAACTCCTGAACGAACATTCAGTTCCTCCAAGTATAGACTGACACACACAGTTGAGAACTGCTGTCGAGAACAGGGTGTATATAAGATAAAATTAAAATAAATGGGTCAACGAAAACAGCGGCCGTACATATTGGTACCATACGAATGAGGGTTAAATCCGTTTTTTGGTTTGAGTATCTCACCCCTAAACAACTTAATAGTTTCATTTTTCCTGATATTATTCAAATTCGAATACGCCTGATGAGTGTGTCAGTATGGTTGCAATAGTTGTTGCAAAAAAATATACTCCAGATCCCAGGTGACACTGGTGTGAGTGAGGGTATGGTTTTACGCTGTTTTAGCAATATTTCAGCAATATCACGGCGGGGGACACTAGAAATGGGTTTCACACATTGTACCCATGTGGGGAATCGAACCCGGGCCTTCGGCGTGACGAGCGAACGCTTCAACTACTAGACTACCCTCACCGCCCCGCAGGTGTCACGAGTACTGACATACGCCACAGATGCATTATTGGAGGTCCTGAAAAAGGGCCCCATGTCGCGTCGAAGTCACTGATATAACGTTTAAGAGGAATATTTGCAACTGGAGTCATAGATATTGTTTCTTGTTTGTGTTGTCGAACGTCGCACTCAACAATATTTCAGGTATATGGCGGCGGTCTCAATTGTGAGTATGGTTTTACGCCGCTTTTAGCAATATTCCAGCAATATCCTCGGCGGGGGATATTATACCTATGTGGGGAATCGAACCCGGGTCTTCGGTGTGACGAGCGAACGCTTTAACCACTAGGCTACCCCACCGCCCCCGTTAAGGTTGTACTTTGACAAATGCACATGCATGTCACGTGTTCTTATCTGAAACAGTTGCGGATTTAAAGAGGGTTAGATGTGTGGCGGACACCGTCACTGTCCCAGGGACGACCCTCATCCACACCTACAGCAGCGACAACAGCCAGACCAGCGTGAGTGAGGCATTGCAGAGGGGGTTAATTCTTGCTGCCAAGAAAGGGTGTTACCATGTGACCGTGCCGGTGCCTGCTGAAGGTAAGGAGACATCTGGGATATATCATTGGCGGCATGTTGGCGGCATGACATTCATTAATCAAATCATGGGTTGTCCTTACTTCTGACAATGGTGTAACCTAACTCACTGAAGAAATTTTACCAATGTATATCCTGATTAAAGCGTGAATCACAATGTCAGTAGAATTCCAGCCTTTGTTGGCAAATAATGTTTGTAATATACCGAGTTAATTAATTAAAAATGGAAGACATCAATTATTTACAGGTAAAAGTAATATTGCACAGCCCAATTCAGAAATATTTAAACGTGCATACGGTAACGTTAAGCTAGACAAAAATACGAAGACATGTCGTAATAGCGTCTTTCCAAGAAAGCAAACACAAACGCATACACAAACGCACAAGCACACACAAATAGAGAGATATGTATGCGACTATTGGCGTAATAGTAACCACCACAACGAACTCAAATCTGAATAAATCATATGCAAATATTTTCTTTTGTGAAGATTCTTTTCTGACACAGAATTGTGAGGAATGTAATTCAGTAACTGTTATTGCATTGCCCTTAGGAGATGATTATCAAAATAGGATCTTTTTGGGTTCTCGATTAAGATGACACGTCACACGTGTAAAGTTTCCAAAAGTAATAAAGTTACGATCTGTGTTCAATCATTACAAACTATCACAGTTTTGGCTTGTTTTCAAACACTAGAAACTAACTGGATTTGTCCATTTTTTGTGGCTCATACCATCGCTCTGTCACAATCTATTTGATCTAGGCAACCTCGCGGCAAGACCTGATCAAGCAGGCGACGCCATTGCTTCTGCCGTCAACCGGCGTTCCTGTGGTGTGTTTGTCGTAACAGTGGTCATTCCCGATAACGCCATCTATATTGGAATAGTAACCAGTGTCGCTAGACGTGGAATAGTGCAGGAGCCCCCGGATGTCAGCAAAGTTTCCCTTGTCGGTAAGTGTTTTGGGAGAGGTGAGATAACTTGGTGGTTTAAAGGTCACATGCAACGCAAAACACAACTTTGCAGATTCTGATACCTTTCGATATGGACTTACAGAAACACATCAAAAATGCAAATTCCACTTATAAAGTTGAAAAATAACGCGATGAAATCGGAGTTCAAACGATTCACTAATTTCACCCCAGCGCCTGGGTGAAAAGTGGTTTCAACAGCTGCGCTGCGCCCATACCGCATGCGCAGTGATTAGGTTCGCGCGGCTTGAACCGGGAAGGCGACTCGTTAAAACACAGCAAGTGATGCGTGCAAGGAGTATCGCTGTGGTCGAAGTTGGAGAACAAAATATGTTTCTTGTGATTACAAGCATCTTGGCCTGCAGTAATAAAAATACACTGGTCCCATACTTGGTTGCAGATTTGCAAACCAAGTTTGGAAGAAAGTGTAGCATTAGAAATACTAATTTCATGTTAAAAATTGCTCAGCTTGAAAACTGAAATGTTTTAATACATGTGTATAGAAACATAGAAAAATATGTTGATTGTGATAAGCAGTCTCTGTCACAGACAAAACTCAATGTCTGTTTTATTGACACCTATGTGTCTGCTAATGACAATATGCAATACACAACTTCAATCAGTGACCACATGCAATTTGAACTTAACACCTATCGGGCTATACACCATAAACAAAATACATTGATTTATGGCTCGTGCCTCTGAGTTCTGTCTCTGTGACATTATGTAATTACACAGACAGGCAGGTGTGATACTTGTACACAGGACATGTTATTATGTCTGTGGGTTGCAAACAAACTGCATCCATTTTTCTAAGATGACTGGATCGGACGGAAACCGGTGCAAACTCAGATTGTCAGTTTCAAGTCCTGCTTTGTACTTGGACGAGCGACAGTTTCCAGCCACGTAGTAGTTCACATCTCAGTATTTGTTGATTGGATCGAACGTAAATGCAGAGAGCATGTATTTACAAAACCTAACATCTCTTTATACATTCTTTATGGATAACAACTTCTTTTATTGTATATAATGCGTCGTTTCGGTATGGATTCTTAGAATCCATACCGAAACGTATAAGAATCCATACCGTCGCATCATATACAATAAAATAAGTTGTTATTCATAAACAATCTTACTTTCTTATTACTCACCATACTTCTAAAATGCCAATCAAACATATCATCTCTATACACACACACAATGAGCCCTCGGGGGTATCGGCAAATGAACCAGCCAGTGAAAGACTTCGTTACACTTGAGTGCACACCCACGCCCTCTGACTGGGTTCGGTCTCCCGGGTGCTTCGTTTCGAGGGAAGTAAACCCAGGTGCAAAATATTGCACTTTTGATTCGTGATTGTACGCTTATAATACTGTTTATTTGTTTTTTCACAATCCGCAATTTTTAATATATGTCATGAGTAAGTGATAATTGTGTTTTAATTATGTTTGTTTTTTCAAAGAGTTTGCGCGTCCCGGGTTCGATCCGCAATGAGACAAACCTATTCTATTCAGGACTCCCCACGGACGGGGTCGCTGTGATATAGCACTACTTTCTGTTTCGGTTAAACCGAGGTGTTTTTGATATTATTATTGTTTGTTTTTTTATATTTCAGTCTACATCTGAAATATATTTTCGCTTCATAGTTTAAAGGAGTTGTTACTTTCAACATCCTGGTTGGTTTGTTTCTTGTTTAACGCCGCACTCAGCAATATTCCAGCAATATGGCGGCTGTCTGTACATAATCGAGTCTGGCCCATACAATCCAGCGATCAACAGCATGAGCATAGGCTTACGCAATTTGGATACGATGACATGTGTCAACAAAGTCAGCGAGTCTGACCACCTGATCCCGTTAGTCGCCTCTTACGACAAGCATGGTTTACTGAAGATCAATTCCAACCCGGATCTTCATGGGTTTCAACATACTGATTTCCCTCATTAAATATACAATATATTCTGTGTAAATACACTCCCCACGTAAAAACATTTGATCATTTTTACATTGGCTATTATGTTTTTAAATCTTTACAGATTCCTTGTGGAAAGTGACGTTTTCGCGTCAGCACAGCCTTAGAGAGATACATACCACAGCAGTGGATGCCGTCATGGTCGTCACTTCAGACTCGGAGGAGAC